CGCATTTATTCGGGTCAGTGGCCGCGATAATGGCGCTCACATTTACCGAATAACCATATTTGCCAAGGTTCAAGCCATCCCTTACGAACGATATATACTTACAGTTGAAAGCCAGGGAAAAGCATCTGTAAATAATATCACCCACCGGGTGCACGCGATCCTTGACCAGGAGCTTCATTTCGTCCTTGGTGACGTCGAGGATTCTCGCTGCAATCCACAGCTTGTAGAATATGTATAACCCCTCGCATTTGTATACCATCAGACGAATGTATTCATCACGCTCCTCAGCCGACCGGAAGGCCCTTGTTCGAACATTCTGAGATTGAGAAATCCTCAGTACCGTCGATGGCAAAAGGATCCCTTCCTGATCGTGTTCAGCCATGTTGGGGTACTTCATGAAGTCGTTGTGGTTTGGGCAACCTGGCTTCCCTTCGAGCGCGGCATCGACCGTTCTCTTTTCACCACCTTCGAACATCCCCCACATCTTTGACATCTGCAGTGCGATGAATCCCGCCATGTATTGAGCTTCGCGCGGCTCATCAAGACAAATCGCCATCCGGTGGGTATTTATGATATCCCGTGATGCCAAGTCATTGTCGCGGTATTGCCAACCGCCATCTTCCTCCTGAGACATGTAGCCGGACGTGTATCCTTGCGTGTCCATGTCGTCTTCTTCAGGAACGTCCTCCGCCTCATCATCCTCTTCCTGTGCTGCCGCATCATGGTTGGCTTCGTTTTGTGCGCGCCTGGCATCACCCGAGACATTGGGCCTTTGGTTGTCCTCATCGTCGTCGGAACTGATGTGGATGTAGAATCTCCCGGTAGAGATCAATTGCGCTCCACATTCCAGGCACACACAGAAGCATGTGGGAATCGCGGTCGCACATGACGGACATATCTCGTCATTCAGGATGACGACTTTGCTGATCTCGTCCCTGACCTCGTTGGTCTGCGCATCAAACTCCTCCAGCTTGTTTTCCCGAAAAAATTCGCATGCACGATCAACCATGTCTTTGATGTAGTGCAGATTGTCGGCACCTGCCTCGGTCTCAGGCATCCTCTCGTTGATCTTCGCGACGTTCTGGAGGAACATCGCAGCCGATTCCTGGGATGAGTTGACGAAACCCGGACAGATCTCGTTTTCCACACATTTTGAGTACGCTCGCTTGATGTCCCCGTACTCCAGGCGTTTCCCTCCGTTGCTTTTGCCAATCCAAATGGACTTGACCTCATAGAACGGGATCACGTCAAAGACCATGAATGTCCCATTTGCCGCGACTCCAGCTCCATACCGCGCGAGGGTTGCACTGGGAATGTAGATGATCGCAATCGGATCCCCCGTCCTTACGTTTCGTAGCGTCACCTTCGTTGCTACGTTCATCTCATCCCATGGAGCAAATGCTCCGAAGTGCAGTGCTAACCTGTTTCCGCCATCGATCCCGCCGGGGACTAGCCCACAGCGTATGGAATGCTCCTCCGAGAGAATCACCCATTCTTGCGGAATACCTATTTGCCAGTGCGGATGAGCTCATGAATCCAAAATCACTGTGACCAGTTGTGACTCGGATGCACCAAGGCCTGTACCATCCACCGCATCTGTTGAACATCCTGTCGATGTCATCCCGATCCAGGCCAGCATTCATCTCCTCCCTGGCCGCCTTCATGTCATTCGGGTTCATGACGCTTGGAAACCTTGCTGCCAGGACCTGAAATCTCGATTTCTTATGTCCGGACTCCTGCCACTTGATCACTTCCATGATGCCCATGTATCGTTTTGCTCTCGAAGTTGAAGGTGGGAATATGTCGTTGTTGCGGTCGTCAATGACTGCGTCGATGTCGACCCATCCACCTTCATCGCATCTGAAAACACTTCCTCGGCAATTGCCGATTTTGTGCCGAAGGACTCTACACAGGTTGTGAGATAGCTGGTTTGCTTGATCTTTCGTAGCAAATACCGAGCGATCGTCGCCAATCTTGCATAGTGGGGCACCGTCAAAAGGAGCAACGCAGAAATTGACGCTCTTGCCAAGCTGCATCACATCCACCTGCTCAAGGTTGGCACCCTTGGGAAAGTACTTGGGGTCAACAATAGACGCGTACGCCCATGGCATATGCACGTCGCTCACGTCGCCGTACTTCGGGATGTAGCATGGGATGGTGTCACATCCTCGCTCTAGCGTCGTCTTGAACGTTCTGTTGTCCCCGCACGGATTGTGGGTGAGGTCCACGCCACCGCATTGTAGCTCTCCTCCCTCAGCCGTGTCAGCCATCTCCACCAGGTTGATGGTATAGCTATACATTTCTATTGTCTCTTTCTTTCCCTTCTTGTCCCCCTTTCTTGCGTTCCTTGGACGTCGATGAGGACGGCTCTTCCGTATCCCCCATTTCTTCATCCGAAGAAACATGATCGCTGCTGAGAAGTTCACGGTTTTTTTCTTCATCGCCTTCTCATTCCCAGCAGCCTCCTCATAGTTCTTGCAGTCGCCGTCGTGGGCCAGGT